GCCGTTAAAATGGAAAAGTCTAATTACGTTCGCAGGTCACTACTGGAACGCGTAGTTCGCTGGACGACGTTTACGAAGCCGATTCCGTGGGACAAAAGTTGAGAGTCATCTTCACAGTCGTACGGCTGACTGACTAGTCCAGAGAGGAAGAGACACTTCCCTGAAAAGACCGATGTAGGAGACGATAAAAAACGGTCAAGCTATACTTACAGAAATGATTCGTGGGTCCAGCGTAATAATGACCACGCTTTGCCGAGCGAATACCTGGATTGATTCCAACCTGAAACTAACGAGCTTAAGTTTAGAAAAGGCGAATATCTATGGCTACAAAATAAACTTTCTGACAGAAGTGCTCTTCTTTTAAGAAACACATATGTATATAAAAATAATTCCGGTATTATGAGTTTATTAAACTGTTAGTTTTCGATAACGCCGATAAGAAAATCAATCTCCTGTCAATTCTTCGGATTCATATATGCATACATATAGAACTCCTAAATGCGACTGTGCAGTGGATCATACAAACATCGACAATCAGCTCAAGAAACTAAACGGTGGTAGTGCCGAACTACACAGAGCCACAGAAACAGCCTTCCAGTGACTTTATAATTTGGTGTTCAACCATGACTTGTTCGTAAACGTTATGCGAAAACAAGTTAAAATAGAATAAATGAACAATCAGACCTATTCCAAAGTATGTGAGCCCTGTAATACTTTCGACCAATGAAAAATCACTTACGTTACGACAAAACATCAATAAATCTCAAATGTAAGTATGCCTAAATTCTTCGACAAATCGTACCTATTTTGAAAATTCGCCTGTCTCAACGTTAAATGTTCTTGCTGTTTCTTCGTAGCTTCTCGTGTACATACTCTCTTATTCCTAACGTGCTCTCGCGAGGGCAACTTCTGGTATTATTGACTTACGAAGCAAATTACATTCAACTGATTTGTAAACACAGACAAAGGCAAGTGATCTGGCAAGTCTGCAGTGCAGTCCAACAACTAAAATTGTAAGGATAAACTAAATCTCTATGATACAGTGCAACAACATCACTGAAACTCCGAGAAGTGACTGAGAATAATTATTCTTAACGGCGCTAAAGCAAAATAGCAGTTCACCAGTAAACCGATAATCCAAGGTTCGAGTCTCGAATATATCCGTCACCGGATTTCAGTTGGTGTTACAAGATTTGGTTCGGCAAAACGGAGTGATACGGTTCTGCGTTCATATGCAAAAAATACCATACAGAGCCATTAGGTCGTTCCTGTATTAAGGGTGGCCAAAACCGCTAGAAGAAAGGAATCAGTGCCATTAGGTCTTATGTACGAAGAAGCAGAACACTGTCCAAACTTTACTTGCATATCAAAGTAACAAAAATAAAATAGCAACTTTTCGAGACTGCCTTGACTAAACTTTATAGATTTAAAAATCAAAATATACAGAAAAATTTTCAAATGATCTTGCTTATGACCGAACGGATTTGTTTTAAAGATCACCGTAATTTGGAAGCGTAAATTTCTTTACGTCTGTACTCAGCATTCCAACCATTCAGCCCGACGTGATCGAAAAACCAACGTTAAGAAAAAATCAAAACTTACAAACAGAATATCAAGGTTATCTTTGATAAGATCGGGCAAGGTTAGTTTCGAGAAGTCGGCCATAGCGGAATATGGTTTCGGACCAGATCAAATAAGGGCTTCGAAGACTGATATATACGTCGCAACACACAACTTTTTACGATCCAAGCATTCTCTGAAAAAACGGACCAACTGGAAAAACTGCTCCATGGTTTTCCAGTTTAAAAAAAGGAAAATGGTAAGTTTGTATGAAGCGGAACAGGAAGCTACACTCAGAAGAAACGCCCCCGCAGAAACTACACCGTATACCCGCAACGAGCCTCATGAACTAAGTGTGTTCAGAATGGCGCAACGAAAATTAAACTACTGAATTTAACATTAGAACCTTGTCAAATTAAACAAAACTGCAAAACACTAAGACGAATAATAATAGCAGCATTACAAGAAGTCCGAAGAACAAAAGCAATCGATCGAAATATTAAATTAGAACCTCAGTGTCTAGCATATAAAGTACAGTAACAAATTAAACTGAACGATGGTAGCAAATAAATCAAAAGAAAGATCACGTGAAAACATGCAAAACAGCAATTTATCATGGCAATGTTTCTTGCTTAAAATTAATTATAATTGCACATGCATTCTTAGAACAAAATTTCGTCACTGATATTTCTTGCTGATAATATTAAATTACATCGTTGCGGAATTTGATATCAGTAGACTTAAGCCGGCCAAAATTGATGACTATTCGACGAACACAAAAATTTAAGTCAATTAGCACTATCAAAAAATTTATCAACAATTTTGGAGGCAATTCAAATCTCTTCAAGAGAGACACTTTTCTCCTATTCACTAAATAGCTTAATAGCGAGTAAAGCAGCAAATGTCGATCATTAAATACGATTCAACATGCGCAGCTTTGCTTTTCATGGAAGCAAATCACATGAATTTTCTTTCAAACGTGATTCTCACCATTTTTAGATTTCTATTAAGAACCTTAATTTAGGCCGGCACCGCAGTTGGAATTGAATGGATAGTCATATCTAGTAAAGCATGAGAAACTGAAGCTGCACTTACGACCTGCGAAATATTTTCAACTAGAACAGGGCTTGGACTCGGAGGTCTGACCACTGTTTGTTACTGACTTGTGTGTGAAGTTACGCCGCTGTGTAACTACGTAGGCAATGTTACATGATGTTCATGTCGAATGCGAGTAATACGTTATGCAACCGTGTACTGCTTGCCTGAGTATAACTGCGACAGTTTTATCGTAGGCAAAGTTTTATATTTAGTTTGACCGTCGCGATTGCATGAACGGCTAAATTAAGTTGTGTAAAGCATCACACAAAAATGAAATTAGCCGGGTTCGACGTGTTGAAGAAGAAAATACATAAGCTAAATTGAAGTCATGCAGTGTTAAAGAAATCAGTTGGAGAAAGCCGAAAATTTTGAATCAGTCATGCTCCGACATGGATGAAACGCATGTGACGACTATAACAGCGATTGTGGTTGAAGCTGTAATGGATATTCATAGCCGTTAACACTTTTCGTCTCGAAGATATTTGAGTTTAACCTCTCGGATCAAGACTAAATGGCTGGTGCAGGTGACCTCAGCTGCGATCCAAAAAAACGTTGCCACTTCCAGCTGATACGAACTCTAGTAATCCTTCAAAATTGTTGTTACTAGCCATCGTAGACTAACTGCATTGTATTGTGCTGTCACAAAATGATATATATTTTGTGTTTTAGAATAATTATTGATGCAAGAAAAAATGTCTCATGATTAACAAATTGTTATCATTGGAATCTTTCGCACAGGAATTGGTGATGATTGTACAATTCGCTAAAATTGCGAAAGAATGATCCTAAACGAACTTGAAGATTAAATAAATTGGGGTGCTAACTACCGTCTGTTGAACGCGGTAGAGCAAATTCTCTTTCTCTATTTGTTACGAATTTGTCTGAATTTAGTTTCCTGTATTCTATGCCAAATAAATCTTACGATGGTTGCGTTTCACATGACAGTGTTAATAGAATGTTGTATGCCGCCAAAAAATAAGAAGCCGCAGCAAAGCGAATTGAAGTCGAAATCAGTTTACACTTTCTTATGGTTATTACACTGGATAGCCAGATACCAAGTGGGTCAAGGCATGCAGCCACAAGAGATACCCATCTGATAGCATTGC